TAATTTACCCCAAAAAAAAAAAAAAAAAAAAAGTATTATTATTATTGTACCAGGACTTTCTCAGTTAAGCCAATCTACTGATAAGATTAATTTTTAATTATTAATTTTATTTAAAATTATATTAAATTAAAAATGTATATAAAGTATATATTTTTTAATATAAACATGACAGTTAAAAAGTAAAAATTTACTTGAGAAACTCTCAAAAAATAAAGTAGGCATTCACTTTAATTAAAATTGAGATGTAATTTTAATTTGAAAATATTTTTGAAACTTGTTAAAATCCTAAAATAGCTCTCTTTTATACTTTAGTTGATTTAATATCATCAATTTTAGGCATTCACTTTTTTTAATCTTTTTCTATATAGCTGTTTCTATTCACAGATAATACTAGGCTTAATTTTAATTGAATCTAACAAGTTTTTACTAATTAAAAATTCAAAAATTCTTTTGTTATTCTTGAAGAATAGAAGTCCAACATTGCATTTAACTTTGATTTTTAAAATTTCGCAATTTACTTTTAAGAACATTACTAGACTTATTTTTAAGGGTTTTTGCCTCCATTAATTCCTGAAATATAAGCATCATAAGAAGTTGCTCTTATAAATAATATTAGTTGAACATCACTTGTTATGCACGTGGGGAATAATTTGTGTGTTAAGTTTTAATTACCATATTATTATATTTTTAATTTGTTTTATAATAAAGACCTTAGTTATTACACAACTAACACAAACATCTTTATAAGTATCGCCATTGAAATAACAAGAAAGCTCTTAGCAAAATAAAAATAAAAACAAAAAACAAAAAAATATTAAGCACAGGTACATATGAAATAAATTATGTTAATAAGAATGAAGCAAGATAAAAGTTGCATTTTAAAATCATCCAATAGAATCAAATTAAAAAAATTAAATAATAAGGCATAAACAAGGAGAAATGCATGTCATAATAAATTTTTTTTTCCAAAAACAAATTTTTGAAAATGAGACACATTTGAGAGTATATAAAATTTGAATATAAAATTAAAAAAGGAGCCAAAGGGAGAAAAAAAATAAAGTTTTAGGAAATGAAGAAAAAAAGTAAGAAAAGACAAAACTGAATAAATAAATAAATTTTAAGGTAAAAAAGCAAGAAGAAAAAAGAGAAAAATAAAGAATTGAAGAAAAAGGAGGGGCAACAAAGAAAAAATGAGGGACTAAAGACAAAAAGAAACTAAAGAAGGAAAAAACAATTTTAAAAAAAGAAGTAAAAGAAAAAAAAGAAACGTAGGGGGTGGGATTTTCGACCAAAACATAATCGTTTTAGTCGGAAGTCCTTAAACAGTGAAAACTTTTGAGCTTTCTAATATATAGATAACAGATGATTTCACATATATATTATCACTAGTAAAAGTTCAGGTGTTGCTGTGAAAAATATTTATTGAATTATACAAGAAATTAGGAATTTTTATAATATATGATTAATTTATATATGCATACATATATAGATATTCTAGTTAAAAGTTTATTATAGCTTTTGTCTTCCTTTTTTAATACAAATGTAATAAAAAAAATTAATAACAATAATTAAGAAAGTTGAAAATCTTTAATTATATATAGTGTAAATCAAAAGATTTAGAAGTAGTTATATTATCTGGTCTTTAGACGTTTTCTAGGTGGGTCTGTTGCCTTTAATTCAGAATTAAAATGATAAAAGATATTAAGATATGTATTTAAAATAATAAATGTTGATTTTTATTGATAATTAATATAAATTAGTAAATATAAGAACAAATGAAGAAATAAAAAACTGAGAACAAAAGCGTACAATTAGATCATAGGGCAAAAAAGACCCAAAAGCCCCTCTGTAGGAAAAGGAGAAGAAAAGAAAAAAAAATAGACAAATTTAGGTCTCGTTCACTTCGCGGATTCGAGTTTTCAATTCAAGTTGAGATGTGACATTTTCTGAGAGCTTTTCACTGTAGCAGAAAAAATTAGATATGACATTTTCTGATAGCTTTTTACTGTAGAAACTTAGAACTGAAAATTCGAATCGGTGAAATGAACGATGCCTTAACAATTCAAATTTAAGGGGCAAAACCAGTATTCTACTGTACTATATACAACAAATCATGCCTTTTTTTAATATATAATAAAGTGCAAAATTTTTAATTTTAAAAGGTTTTTAAAAAAAATGTATTTTGCGTTGTTTGATAAAATTAGTTTTTGTTAAATTTAAATTATCACGTGATGGTTATCTTTATTTAATTACACAAATTCATTGTAAATTTTCAATAAATTATTAGAATTATCAAAAAGTTAAAAGAAATAATTTACTAAAAAAAGAGTATCACAATCCTTAAAAGACGATTAATCTTATAACAATATCATTTGAGGTTAATACATATGGTTGAGTGTGTGAATATATGCGTGTGTTAATCAGGATTCGAATCTTAGTGGTTTTATTCTCTTAATAAAATGGGAGCCATCTTTACATTGTGTGTATATTTATGTATAATATTAAAATATGCTAAAGAAACTAATTCTATCACAACTTTTTGTGTTAGTCTAAAAATAATTAGTGTGTTAAGAGATTGTCACACTAATTAATAATGAAAAAGAATAATGTTAGAGATATCAATTTAAATATCAATTTTTACATAATAATTGATGTGATATGTGAGTTGTTATTTTTTTATTATTAAGTGTTTAAAATATTATCACGTTAATTAATAAAAGAGATTACATTGATTAATAAAAAGATAACAATTCGCGTGTTACGTCAGTTAGTACACAAAAATTAAAATTAAAATTGGTGTCTCATAAAAAAATTATATATTTTTTAATTAAAATAAGAGAACATCTGCTATAGAATTAGCATTAAAATTGACGTCTCAAACACTTCTCGTAATATTCTAAAACCGTACTTTAATTTCTAAAACCAGCCGTTCATTTTGGGCAACAATGCTAGTTGGCTTTTGAAAACATTATCATGAGGAGCACGAGCCACATGGACAAACCAAAAAACTTTATTTTTATTTAAAAAAAAAAAAAGATTTGTTGAGATGTCGTATTAGAAACCAGTGAACAAACAACTTGGCAGCAAAGTTGGACCATTTTTCGAAGGTCTGTTAATGTCGGTTGTGTGATTTAATTTTTAATAAATAAGTTAAAATATTAAACATATATATAAAGAGAGAGAACGAAAATTCTCGATATATATGGCTACATTCAACGTTATAGTTGTTGTGAGTGTCTCTCTCTCTCTTCCTTGCGACACCTCTCTGCTTTCCTTGTAGGTTGAAACACGCAAAACCAGAGTTCGAAGAGAGAGAGAGAGAGAGAGAGAGAGAGAGAGTTTTGCCAAGGAATTTGTACTTTATAGCCTAATTTGGATCTGGGTTTTGCCTGAATTGACTTGGCTGACTTGCAACCAATAGTGGGTATTTTTTGGATTTAGCTTTTTTTTTCTCCTTTTTTTAGAGAGAGAGAGAGAGAGAGAGAGAGAGAGTTTTAAGGATGTCTTGGAAGAGCAGAGGAGGGATGGAGTCAGCTTCGAAGAGTGTGGTGTCTCGGAAATGGACTCTCTTTCTTTGTTTTGGCTGCTTTTGTGCTGGGTTGCTCTTCTCCGACAGGTAATTTCATTTATTTTCTGTTTATTCTTGTAAAGTTCCAAACTTTTTTTTTTATTTGGTTCTTTCAATCCATATGTTGTTGGTTGTGAAGAGAAATTTGGGAAGTTGACCTCTTGTTGGACAGAAATATTGGGACTCTTTTTTGTGTTTTAGGATATGGGATCTGTGAATTTTGTGAAAATTCTTGTCAATTATGTGTCTGGTGAGCAGTAGATTATAACAATTGTGAATTGTGATGAGAAATGGTTGACTTTTTTTAATTTCGTTTTGATGGGTTTGTTTACTATATTGTATAGTAAATGAGTAATGTCATGAGTGTTTTGAGTTGCTTTTCCGTTGACCATGAGGCTTGTTTCCCGGAAGTTGTTCTCTCTCTCTCTCTCTCTCTCTCTCTCTGTGAATTTGATCTTTACTTGGATACTTTTGTGATTATGATGCTAGAATACAGATACAATTTGTGGGGATGTAGTTAAATTCCTGTTTATTATATCACTACACATTATATTTGTTGTGGCAGTGTTTACTGAAATTCTTTTATCAAAAGATGGTTTTGTTCTTCCTTATACAGTTTCTTGGTTTTTTTTCCCCCCTTAAACTGTTCAAGTCTGATTGCTGTTTCACCACCTCGCTTGCCTGTTTGTCTGAAGTCCAAGCTTATCACACGTCTTGAAATAACGCTCCTCCTTTTCTTTTATTGTATTTTATGAGCAATGAAACATCATAAATGATCACCCATCTCAGAATTCTATAGATTTTGTAGGTTCTTCTTAACTGAAATAACTGTTTTGTCATTTTTTTTTTTTGCTTTTTGACAACTTATATTTTAGTTTCATGATATGTCCTGAATCACGAGACTACTTTTAACGGTGTGTATATTTTTTCTTGTTTTATTGGACTACCCTTTGCTATGCCTAGCGAGTGACTCGTTTAAGTTTTCCACTTTATGGATGCACTCAATTGGACCTGGCTCTAAGTCAACCTTTCCCTCATTTTGTTTTCATTTGGTTCCCTCCATGACGGAGATGGAGTATTGGGACTGGCTGTTACTAGCCACTTAATAGGAACTTTAAGAATCTTACTTGGAGGGCTGAACAACATTCCGAATGCTCAGTCGTGGTCTTAATTCCCGTCACTTGAAAGTTGAAAAACTCTAACTTCCTAGTCATGATATGTCCTTGCTTATGCCTCTTCTCCTCTATCGGCTCTATGTTTCGTGTCTTCCATCCTTGCCCTTGCGTATGTTTGTGGGGGGGTTTTTTAGGAAAGAACAAAGTGGGGTGTGGAAATTCACCTTCTTTATGTGCTCTTTATTTTGTCGCATTTCATTTTGATTTTTGACCTCGTTCTATTTTTGTGGGGTGAGCATGCACTTCAAAACCATGTAGTATCTAAATCAACTTAGTTACTTCTTAATGTATGACATACTGATTTAAGGATTTTGGTAATAGAATGTCGATGGTACCTGAAAAGAACATATCAAGAACAACTAGAGTGGATGAGGAAATGCAAACGCTAGTTTCAGGCTGTGATCCAAAAATTGTAAGCATATTTTACGCACACATGTTCTTATTTCTTTTCTTCGCTATATAGGTTCCTTCACCTGGTTTTCTGTGGCATTATATTTTATACATATGTTCGGTGTTGTTTCTTTTCTTAGAAGGATGTAGACCATGAATCAAAGGACGTATATGGAGAAGTTACAAGGACTCATGACGCTATACAGTATGCCACTCGGCCCACTCCAGAGCTACTAATATCTTTGTTCTATAAGAATTTCTGCAATGTATGAACTTATGATGCTTACAAACTGCAGAACATTGGATAAAACCATTTCAAATTTGGAAATGGAATTATCGGCCGCAAGGGCTGCTCAGGAATCCATCCTCAATGGTTCGCCCATAGACGATAATTTGAGAATATCTGGATCAATTAGAAAAAGAAAATACTTGATGGTCATAGGGATCAACACTGCTTTTAGTAGCAGAAAGCGAAGAGATTCTGTTCGCGCAACTTGGATGCCTCAAGGTCTGTGAACTTCAATTGTTATATTGACCCGTATATTTCTTAGTTATTATACGATCCTGACAAAGTTCTCTAATTATAAATCTCTGTATTTACAATCAGGTGACAAGAGGAAGAAGCTAGAGGAAGAAAAGGGCATCATAATGCGGTTTGTGATTGGTCACAGGTAAAGTACTTTATGAGAGGGCGGAAAATTCTGCATATTTTTCAAGTTTTTAAGGGTATAGCCTGTATCGTGCAACTGCGGAGTATATTTTTTTATGTTGTTCTATCGGAGGATTCTTAACCGTCTTTTTTCCTACTTGTCTTTTTGATTGCTAGTGCTACATCTGGTGGTATTCTTGATAAGGCTATTGAAGCTGAGGGCAGAAGGCATGGTGATTTCTTGAGGCTGGTAGAGCTTTTTCTCCTTGCATCTACATCTTTCGTGAAAAAGAAAAGGCCATGTTTATACAAATTATTGGAAAGTCTTAATATATCATGTTATTTCGGAAAACAGCCAAGTCATCTAACCACATTTATATTTTCACCCAAAAAAAAATCATGAAACAGGAACATGTTGAAGGGTATCTTGAATTGTCAGCCAAGACGAAGACATACTTCGCTGCTGCCGTTGCTTTGTGGGATGCAGACTTCTATGTCAAAGTTGATGATGATGTGCATGTAAATATAGGTAATAAAAAAAAAAGGCACCAAATATTCAAACTTTTACCTAGTTGCAATTGACATGTTGAATCATTGTTGTTATCTTTTCGTATGTTGCTTACATTAACACCACTTTTATGATTACTTTTGCAGCAACACTTGGAGCAACTTTGGCAAGGCATAGGGACAAATCTCGAGTGTATATCGGGTGTATGAAATCTGGGCCAGTCCTTGCTCAAAAGTGAGCTAGACCAATACAGTCGATTTCAACTCTTTTAGCTTAAAGAAAATTTTAGCAGTTTTTCTTGATCTTCCTTTGTTTTTCAATTATCAGGGGAGTAAGGTACCATGAACCAGAACATTGGAAATTCGGCGAGGATGGTAACAAGTATTTCCGCCATGCCACAGGACAGTTATATGCTATCTCAAAAGACTTGGCTACGTATATATCAATTAACCAGTACGTATTCATATTCCGTGCAGCCGACTGACTATCCTTTTGCTTAAATCACATGTTTTATTTTCTAACTTGTTTTTCTTGGAATTATCTAGGCATGTGTTACACAGATACGCAAACGAGGATGTTTCACTTGGATCGTGGTTTATTGGCTTGGACGTGGAGCATATTGATGACCGGAGATTATGCTGCGGAACACCACCCGGTAATCTCATAATTCTCTCCTCCATGGAATTACGAGAAAGAACATCCATGCGTTTTGCTTCTTGTGGGATTATGTTATTAAGATATTTGATGCAGTAACTTTTATAAAAGGCTAAAGCATCTAGAAACTGTAAGAATTTTAGAGGGTTATTTTCTATGTATTGATTTGCATTTTGGGCTTTCACAAATCAGCACCTAGTAATTTGGTGATCTCACTAAGTTGTTGGTGGTGCATGTGGGTGGTTCTACGACTCGATTATCACTGTTATATGCGTAAACAAACGTTTGTTTTGCTAATCTTATGAACTCTTACCGTAGATTGCGAGTGGAAGGCTCAAGCAGGCAATGTCTGTGTGGCTTCTTTCGACTGGAGCTGCAGTGGCATCTGCAGATCTGTGGAGAGGATGAAGGAGGTCCACAGGCGCTGCGGAGAAGGCGAGAATGCGTTGTGGAGCGCAGAATTTTGACACAAACCTTTTTTTTTCTCTCTTCCATACTCGGGAAGAAATAATTGTAGATTGCTGTGAGCTTGTTTTGTGCACGTCCGTACAGGGAAATGTTTGTATGTGTATAACACATGATATATGACATATAAATTGTAAAATGAGACCTACAGGCTAAAAGGGTTCGGTGCCCCTTTGGGGATTTCTGCTCCGTTTTAGATGAGGAGAAAGACCCAAATAGCAAATCCTCAGAAGAAGCTAGTAAGCTTTATATATTGTAGTGAAGCATTCTTTTAAAAAGTGATTGGAAAAAAAGCTATTTTTTAAGCCTGCCATGTCTAATGAAGATCCACAATAGGTGCCAGCATTTGCGTGCCCTTTTTAACCTAAATTAAAGCTGTTTCTTTTTGCTCAACTTTTTGTGGGGTTTCATACTTTCAACAGATTTTCATAGCTCCAAGCAAAAAATATTATAAATTACGATTATGAATGCACTATTTTACTTTTTTTTTTTTTTTCCTTTTTGCTCAAAGAATACATTATTTTACTGGGCTTGATGATGAGGCTTCACTTTGCAAACATGTCTTGCCACTGGTTCATTTTGGTAACATATACGTCTCCTTCAGTTCGTCGATTTGAGTTTTCAATTCAAATTGATATGTGATTTTATATGAGAGTTTTTAACTGTAATAAAAAAAGTTAGATGTGACTTTTGTAAGAGTTTTTAACTGTAGTAAAACTGAAATTGAAAACCCGAATCGGTGAAATTAACGAGGTTATAATAAGGTTATAATAAACACCTTAGATCATTCCCAATGTAATGTCAAATTAGGATTCTTGGTGCTAAATTAACATATGTTATATTTGGAGGTAAATTTAGCATAAGTATAGCTTATATTAAATTATGACAATTTATTTCTATTGGTTGATGTATTGAATTTTTAATTTAACAATTACAATATTATAATTTTCAAATTATTATAAAATTAAAAGTTTATTTTTACAAATAACAAAAAATAGATATAACATTTAAAATTGTATTATACACGGGAACTGAAATCAAAATAACAAATCAAATATGTAATTTTCATATATTTTTTTGTGTCAAAAATTGCATTGGTATTAGTATCTGCATTGGAGGTAGTTTTATCATATACACATGTTGATTGTTATCAGGTGATGTCACCCCTTTAAGAAAAATACTTAAGGCACCACTGATGTTAAACACTACAACTGATAGTAAATTAGTCCCATTTATAGATTCATACTATACCGAACCACATTCTATTAGCATTGTTCTCCTCTTAAAATTCTTTTAAGAGTGTGTTTTGCTAGAGGAAGAGAGAGGCGGCGGGAGAATGGTGAAAGGTAAGGGGGTAGAGACTCTTCTTTTGGGCCACAAATTTGTACCTTCCATTAGTGGAAGGATTTATTAAATCCATCAATATAAGCTAAAAAGACTATTTTTCCTTAAATAGAAATAATTAATAAATAGTAAAATAAATAATATAATAATTAGACAAATAACTATCATTATCTATTCAATTCTCCCACCTTTTACAAATTTTACTACAATAATCTTCTTTTTTGTCATTTAACTCTTCATCATTTCTACTGTCAATCCTTTCTACTAAACGAAGACTTAGGATTTATGAGTAAGTGGGTTCATGACACTACAAACCGTGTAATAAAATACTTCTCAGTGGAGAGGATTAAAACAAGGAGAATTTATGATATGATGTGAAAAATATATGGGTAAGACATAATTTTTAACCATTTTAGTAGAATTTGACATAGGTATATTTTTCACACTCCATTCTGGTACAAGTCTCCTAAAATCAAAATGAAAATATTATAGGTTTGAAAGAAAAAAGGAAAAAAAAAAAGACCTTTTTTTGATAAATCGTCCTATTAATAATATCAATTTCTGATTATTAAATCTAATTAAAATCACGTAAAATTTAAAAAATACGTGTTAATGACAAAAATCAGCATAATAACTATGGAAATGAATGGTTTGAAAAGCTCATGTCAGCATGATGTTGGCAATTGACACATAATTTTCCTGAAGTAGATTCCATTTGGGGTTTTCACACACTCACAAGTCACAATTATGGAGGGAAAAAAAAGAAAAAAGAAAAAAGAAGACTTCTAGAAGGTGCAGCTAAAGGACAAATGTTTCAACTCTATTGAGCCAATTACTTATTAGCAGGGTGGGAACTGTTATTATTATTCTGCTACAATGATAAGATTTAAATATAACATAAAAAAATGGTCTTAAAGGATTGTGCGGTCCAATCACACCTTATATTATCTTCTTGTTTTCATACTTCCCCACTTACCATGTGAATTCAGAATAGATTATACAACACAAACGTGGTAATGATTTCTCTGTTGAAGAAAGCGAAGCCCACCACACCACAAGCCTTTTTAGGATCCGTTTAATTCATTAATTTAAGTTAAGATGTAATTTTATGTGATAATTTTTTATTGTAATAAAAAAATTAAATGTGATTATTTTTTATAATTTTTTACTGTAATAAAATTTGAATTTTAAACTCAAATAAATAAAATAAACGAAGCTTTAATTTCTAATTAAAAAAATCAAAAAAAAAAAAAAAACATTACCCGATACAAGGTCTTATCGTAGAAAGACCCTAACGAAGACTTTACTTACCAGCTTTTTCCTATTTTATGACATGTAAAGTAGAGAGTATAGCATAATATTTACTTTTGTGTAATGATAATTTTAAAAATGAGTTTCATAAACTATCAAAAAAATCTTTATTTTTAACGGTTATATCTGATAAGAAATTGTCTGCAGATTTTTTTAAAAAAATAACGTAATTTTAATAAAATCTAATAGTAAAAAACCGTCGTCACTCTTTTAATTTATTAATTCGAATTAAGATGTGATTTTATGTGATAATTTTTTACTGTAATAAAAAAATTAAATGTGATTATTTTTTATAATTTTTTACTGTAATAAAATTTGAATTTTAAACTCAAATAAATAAAATAAACGAAGCTTTAATTTCTAATTAAAAAAATCAAAAAAAAAAAAACATTACCGATACAAGGTCTTATCGTAGAAAGACCCTAACGAAGACTTTACTTACCAGCTTTTTCCTATTTTATGACATGTAAAGTAGAGAGTATAGCATAATATTTACTTTTGTGTAATGATAATTTTAAAAATGAGTTTCATAAACTATCAAAAAAATCTTTATTTTTAACAGTTATATTTGATAAGAAATTGTCTGCATATTTTTTTAAAAAATAACGTAATTTTAATAAAATCTAATAGTAAAAAACCGTCGTCACCACAAGTCACATGTACGACAGGTCGATATATATATATATAGTCGTGTAACTATACTGCTTTGAAAGTTGGGTCTGTGTTATTTTTGGTTCCAAAAATGAGAAGAAACCCAGAACACGATGATGAATCTCTTAACTCATCAACCAACAAAATTCCTCTTCTTAAGCTCATAGATTGCTCTCTTAGAATCTCTGTAATCCCTCTAAGCGTTGCAACTATTTGGCTAACTATTAAAAACAATCAGAATAACAGCGACTATGGGAAGCTGGAGTTCAGCAATCTCATGGGTCTCAAGTGAGAAATCCTTCCTGTATACATTTTTCAGTGTCGTTTTTTCATCCTTGCTCTTGTGGAGTTTGTCGTTTTGGAGTAAAATGGTTTGGGTTGTGTTCTACAGGTACATGGTTTATATCAGCTTCATTTCTGCTTTCTATGCTTGTGTTGCTGCCATTTCCTCATGGATCAGATGCTTAGCTTCCAGAGCTTGGTTTTTCTTTGTCTCTGACCAGGTTTTTCATTTTCTCTTTTCATTTTTTTTTGCTTATTTATCATTTTTTGGGTTCTGCCAAAATTGATCTGATTGTGGTAGAGTTTGATGATAACTCATCAATAATCAATCCCTTTTCTTGCTCTAGAATTAGGTTTCATGGGAAATTTTTATTGCCTATTTTTTATCCTGAAAAATAAACTTATTTTTCCGTCTTTTTTTTTTTTGCTCTGCTTATTTTTCAGTCAGTTTATGCCGTTTAACTTATTAGCTAAAAATTTTAACAACATTATTTCAATTCAAGCTTTATTTTTGTAACCACATTTATTGTTATTCCCATTCCTTTATTTAGAAACAATAGAATTGGAACTTGATAGTTTAGTAAGCACCTTGGTAGAATTATGGGTAGATTTTAAAAAATTATTGTTAGCTGTACTAAAAAAAAAATAGATGTTACAAAAAATAATTTAGTATTTAGTAAATTATAATTATTTAAGTATTGATTCTAGGAGTATTATGAAAGTTTCATTAATTGTACTTTAAGGTATTTACGGCATGATTTAAAAGTCAAAGTTATCTTTAAATTGTTTCTAATTTCAACTGTAAATTCTTCAAAAAAATTTTAAGAATAATTTTTTATGATTTTTGTCAAATACAAATTTGAGTTGTGAATGACTAGAGAATTGATTTTGAGCTCTAGGAATCACTACCAAACATACCTGTGAAAACCAAAAATGGTGTAGCTTATACGCACTTTTAATTAAAATAATAATAAGCCCCTCCCGAGTTTTTTATTTATGTGCTCTATCTTATTAATATACACGTAGGCCCATTAAAAATTTAAAAATTAATCTTATTGCCCCATTAAATTTTGTTTTAGTTATTAGCCCCAACTGAAAAACTTTTAGCGTCTTCCTATCTTTTAGTGTATATATCTTATGTATTAATCTTTTTATTAATTTACTCCAGAGGAGTTCTTTTTTTTCTTTAAATATTTCTAACTTCGAATTTTCTTGATTCCGATCCACATCCAGATAATAAGTTTCATAAACGGGTTTATTTTTATATCGTGTCTCTTTAAAATCGATTTTTTCCGGATCCTCCTTTTCTTCCGAAAAAAGGGAAGGAGAAGGATCTTCTTCGGTGGATCCCTCTTGTTCCTGTTTAGTCCCCTTCGTTTCTGAAGTTTTTTCTACATCTCTTTCTTCCTCACTTTCCCCCCTTTCTTCCGTTTCTTTCAGTTTCTTAGTAAGAATGGGTGACGGTATTCTGCCTAAATAGTAGACACAGGTAATAAATAATAGAATACTAAAGATTCGAACCATAAAATTTAAGTAGACAACTTATTATTTTTCAGTATAAACTTAATACTATTCATTATAATATTAAAATATAATATATGATTATTATAAACATAATAGCAAATGTTCAACCTTATAACTATAATTACTATACTATAATAAATAGTATAATTAATAGTATAATGAATTAATATGGTTTCTTACTTATTTATTAAAAAAAAGAAAAATATTAATAAAATCTCTATTCTCCCTTCAAATATGAATACTACCGTGCTAGTTTTATGAAAAAAACAAAGCCCCTTATCGGATTTGAACCGATGACTTACGCCTTACCATGGCGTTACTCTACCACTGAGTTAAAAGGGCATATTTGATTCAATTCCTGAATAAGCCACTAATCACTATGTGTTTAGTCTATATACATATTATATGTATATAAATACATCGTATACGTTATAATATATCTTAAACGTATAGTGGTTCATTCAGGAACGATAAATTTGATTTACATAATGAGTATAGGATATACTTGTAAGTATAAGTAAAAAATTGTAAGTATAAGTAAAAAAAAAGGGGGTTTAGTGATATTTGATTTCATAAATATCAATCAATGCAAGGAATTGTTTCAAGACAGATTCTAATTGCCATCATAACGAAATTCATTTGATTGATACAGGTACCTACCAATTCAACCTAGATCCAAACTATTTCATCGAATCATTAATAAAGCGATTCAGCTTGCCCCCCAAACCAAATTCTTAGAAAAAAAAGAAAAAAAAAAAAAGATTTATTAAATAAAATAATATTAACATTATTAATAATTATTGAAATTATTAATAATATTATTTAAATTCTAAATTTAAAGAAAAAAAGAAAATAGATTTATTTATGGAATTATAAAATGTCGATTAGAATGAACGATTCAGGAATATAAATAATCAAAGAATTCTCTATAATCGTGAAAGACAGAAAGATCCTTCGCGTTGAGTCATACGATTCCATTATATTGACAATTTCAAAAAACTATTCATACTATGATGACGGTTGGGCAAGTATGCCCCCATCGTCTGGCGGTTCAGGACATCTCTCTTTCAAGGAGGCAGCGGGGATTCGACTTCCCCTGGGGGTAGGGTACTACGAAAGGAAGTTGATCGTGGATTATCACTAAGCCTGGATTGATTCTTCCCGGGTCGATGCCCGAGCGGTTAATGGGGGCGGACTGTAAATTCGTTGGCAATATGTCTACGCTGGTTCAAATCCAGCTCGGCCCAATAATTCGCCGATCCACCATGAAATGATATAAGCCATTTGTTGTTCTCCAGAAATGCTCGATCCCAGTCAAAATCTCTGATATTGATATATCTTTATCCCTATCGCTATTACTCTATTTATTTTTCTTTTTTCCAACAAGTTTTGATCTTGCTAATGATCTATATTCATATCAGTTGTGTTAAGCATTATCCACAAATAAAAGGCGAGTCTTAGAGGTCTACAAGAAGAGCTCACATTTTATTAGTGATGGTGCATAACATTAGAAGCACTTTAAAAAAAATTTCTTTTGTAAATCCTAAATAATTTAGGAAAATAGTATAAAATAGGCCAATATGAAAACCTTAAGAAAGTATATAGGCCAATTTTTAGTTATAAAAATTAATAGGCCATAACTTGTCAAGTTATGGTTCATAACCAGATAAGTTATGGACAAACTTGTCAAGTTATGGTTTATAACCAGACAAGTTATGGATAAAAACCGTGAATAATTTGTCAAGTTATGATTCATAACTAGACAAGTTATGGATGAAAATAATAATTTGGTCTATTTATTAACTTATGTAAACTATTGACCTATTAATTTTAATTCATCTCAAGTCTTGACCTATTTCTCTCTTTCTCTCAATAATTTATCCATTATGAATTTCATGTGTGTAGATTGCAGCTTACTTAATGGTCACATCAGGGGCTGCAGTAATGGAGATATTGTACTTGTCTTATAATGGTGATAAGGGAATCTCATGGAGTGAAGCTTGCAATTCTTATGGAAAATTCTGCTCTCGAATGAAAGTGGCCTTGGCTCTCCATGCCTCGGCTCTTTGCTGTTTCTTTGTTTTAGCAGTGATCTCAGCTTATAGGGTTTTTAGCATGTTTGAACCTCCTTCTGTTCCTAATAAGGACGTTGAGGAATAAGAAATGGCTTCAAAAATGGATTTTGTTTGTAAAAGGTTCTATATAACAGCATTTGTGATGTGATGAAGTATGTTAGGGGCATCATTGTAATTTTCCCTCTTAAAATTTATAACTCTGTTATTTTTCAACTTTTTTTTTTTTGGTGTCATGATATAGTAATCAAGTTTATGTTGCTGAAGTGCATTTATGTAAAGATAAAAGATCACAAAGGCAGTAGTTAATTTCTTGAGTATACAACGTTTTTGTTGCATTTTTTCTTAATCTTGGAATGGCCCTTGAGTCCCATCTACAGACAAAATATGCATTTAAGTGAAAACCTCAATGACTAATGAACTTTTTTTTTTATTATTAATATTGGTCATCCTTTGAGATTGGGAAAGTCTGAGACTTGAATCTTAAATCTTTCCCTTAGTGAGAGTCGGAGGAGGATCTCAAAATGCCTTTGGTTGGTGGATTCATATCATGGTTCGAATCATAATTCGTAGTTCGCTGTAGTATTTTTACTTACAAAAAATACACATAAATTGAGAATGATTCTGAATCATGATTATGAATTTATTAACCAAACGTCCACTCAATCTAACCCCTCGGGAGAATGACTAATGAATTAACACAAATTTTTTTTTTTTTTTGGAGAGGTGATTCTTCTTGCTGTGAAATCTCCTTTTTCATAAGATCAAGACATGGACAAAGGTCAAAACAAATGGTGCGTTTAGAACTCGTTTCAAAATGATTTTATTTTTTGTATGAAAATAGAAATGAAAACGTTTTCAATCTCAGACATAAATTATTTTTGAAAATCTGTTTGGTAGTTTTATCAAGAGATTATTTTTAGTATAAAAAAACTCATTAATGTCTCTATCTCTTTCTCTCTGCTCGAGAGAGGAGAAAACAGAAATAAAAAATAAAAAATGACTAAAAGTTATTTTTTATTTTTCTCTCATTTTACACTAAATTAAAAAATTATTTTTATTTTTATTTTTTATCTTTAATTGTGTCAAATACCGTTTCTCTCTTATTTTTATTTTGTTCTAAAAAACGTAAAAAATAAAAATAAAAACAACTTTAAACACAGCCAAAAGTTTTAGGAAAACAACCCCTTAATTAACCCATCTTACCCACCCCACTTTTTTCTTGTGGATATCAATGGAACCTCACCTACCACACCGAAAGACTACTCTCTGTTGTCCTTTTCCTTTTTCACCTACTTGGCCCCTTCTCTAGAGTGCTCGCAATTTATTTCAATTTCATTTTCAGAAAATGTTTCGTTTAATAGACGATTATGAGGGCACAGGACCTAAGACTGCTTGGTTCAGTGGTATAGAATAGTTCAGAAGGAAATTAAACTATTATGAGGGCACATGACCGAACACTGTTTAGTTTAGTGGTATAGAAGAGTTTCGAAGGATGGAATTTAAGGGAGGTTACGGGTTCAATCTCGTGTTATATTATTGAAAAAAAAAAAGGGATTATGAGGTAGTTAGACCATCTCTATTGCATATACTATTGTTAATGACATATTTGGTATTAGAAAGTGTTAACATGTTATTTTTATTTGTGCTTAAATGCATTATACTATTTTAAATATTAAAGTATACTTTTGTCATGATCGTTAATTTTGAAAGTTGTAAAAGTAAATTTCACTTTAAAATAAGAGAAAATTACAAAAATAACTATTGTTTTTAATAATCCTATTATTTAAGCCATTAAAAAAATACTCTAGTAGAATATGAAAAATAACATGCCAATATAAAAGATATCTTACTAAAATATCAAGGCATAAATGGTAAATCTAAAATTGATGGCACAAGTAAGATAGTGTTAACGTTTTTATCCTTAAAATAATGGGTGTCTCACTGATAGGGTTTTTTTTACCGGTAGGATCAATTTTTAATCGTTAGTTCTGGTTAAAATCACATTAAATTGAAAAAGTATGTAGAATAGACAGTCTCTAATACATATCTAACGACTGAAAATAATGACATATTTGTAGCTTTTTTTTTTTTTTTTTTTGGGCAAGAGCTACCAGAAAAACTCCCAAAAGTAATTTAATGTAAAAACTATAATGGTTTGTATTGGAGAGTAATTTCCCTACTCAAATACTAAATTTAACACGACACCCTAATTTACAATTGTGTAAAAGATGCTCTTAAAATGCAATTATTTGTTCTAATCTTTTTTTTAATCGTGAATAAAAGATTTTAAAACTAAGGGTGAATATCAAATTGGGCCCTAGATCTCACTTTGTCTCTATAACTCAATACGGTAAAAAATTTGTCTATGAGGTTATCATAAGTTATAATTTTGGTACTTCCTTCCTTAAGACGGTAATTTTTGATTGGTTTTACTTGTGTATGATCGGCCATTCAAATGCCATTTATCAGCTAATTACTTGATGTACATGTAATTAATACCGTTAAAAAGTAGACGTTTCAATGGTAGAGTATCAAAATTGTAACTGATGACAAGTTTGGGGAAGGAGAATTGTTGTATTCGGGAGTCAAATTTAAACAAAGTAGTTCTCCTTTACTAATAACATCTTTTTAGAAGTCTAGCTATCATTTGTTTGACATTAGGATTAATTTCATAAATACTCCAGAACTTTAGACATTTTTTCAATGTCTCCCTCTTTCAAAAATTGAAAATTAGTTCATTTTGACCCATAAATTATGTACCTTAATTCAAAATGTCTCTTATATCAATAAAACTAATAAAATGTCGACGTTCCGTTATTTATGCTTCTATAAATGCCCCTAAACTATTAGTTTTATAGTGACTTGCCCTTTGAATTATTATTTTTGTGTCACTTACCTCTTGATACATTCTAAAAGAATCAGAGGGAAAACTGACATAAAATTATTATTTCAAGAAGCATTTATGAAATAACATTATTTCATGGGGTGTTATGAAACACATTTCATATTTTAAAGGGTTAAATGAACTCTTTTTAAAATTATGTTATAATCCATAACATTATCACGTTCTATCACGTATTATAGTGCATTCTTTATATCACGTTATCTCATTTGCATATCAAGAAAGTAAATAGATAAATTTTATAAAATTCTCCTCAAATTTTTAGCACAGTAACAATGCGTTCCCTGAACATAAATGTTTATTTTTATATACGCCTCCTTGAATATTTAAAGTGTCTCAAAAGTGATATTTTTTGTTAGGATTATGATTTATGTTCATAAATACTCTTTAAATTATGTACCCTTTTTTAAAATGCTCTCTGATTTTTTAAAATCTTTCAAAACGTCCCATGGTATATAGAAAACATATCAAATTACTTCCTCCGTTAACTTTCATGTATAATTTTAACAGTTTGTTGACATGGCATATCATGAAAAGCTTAATTAAATGTATTCAATTCTAATTAAAATTTAATATTAAAATAGTATAAGATAAATTAAAACCTAAAGAGCAGTTGGAACTTGTTCTAAAATGATTTTTTTTGTATGAAAATGAAAATGAAAACGTTTTCAATCTCATAACGAAATCATTTTTAAAAATGCATTTGGTAGTTTTATCAAGAGATTATTTTCAGTGTAAAAAAACCAATTAATGTCTCTCTTTCTCTCTCTCTCTACTTGAGAGAGGAGAAAACGAAAATAAAAAATAAAAAATGACTAAAAGTCATTTTTCATTTCTCTCTCATTTTACACTAAACCAAAAAAATCGTTTTCATTTTCATTTTTTATCTTTATTATGTCAAACGCCGTATTAAAAATGTTTTTATTTTTTCTTTTTTAAAAAACGTGAAAAATAAAAACAGATCAATTCTAAACACAACCAAAATTTTTCAAAAAAAAAACAAAAACAAAAGAAAAAAAGATTTAAAACCCAAAAAAGTGGTCGTCTTCCTTCTTGGCTCTAACTTGCAGAACCCTATTCATATCTATGGGTTTGCCGCTGCCCCCCACCACCCCCACATCCGCGACCACGTTGCACCACTGTGAGCTCGCCACACCGGAGAGTGAAGCACAGTAAAGCTCTGGTCACTTCCCCTCTCGCAAACCCCAATCAAGCCATCTCCCAGTGGTCGCGAGAATAGTCTCGCGATGGGATTTGCGATAGAGCTCGCCGGTAAAGACACAACTGCTAGTGGTTGCGTGTGTAAGGAGGAATCACTGCATTTAATTAGGACGTTCGATTGGGCATTTGGGCACCGATCGGGGAAGTGTTGTTGTGACAGCCAAGGCTCGAGGGAGGCTCGCGATGCTTGAGATGGTGGAGACGATGAGGGGTTGGTCTCCGATGCTTGCGATGGCATCCGGCGCTCGCACGGTCGTCGGCGAGCGGAGGAGGTGCGATTGCGATGGTACCGGTGGTGGGTTAGAATGAGTGATGGGGTGACTGCTTAACTCTAGGGTAGGGCCGCAATATGGGTCACGACACGACTCGAAAATGACACGAATTTTACGAGTTAAGGTTGAGAAAAAAGATGTTCGGGTCAGAATTGAGTCGATTTAAAATTGACACGAAAAACACAAGTCAATTTCGGGTTGGACCCGCTTAACCCGAACACAACACGAAACTCGTAAAAAATTAAAAAATACATATATTTTTCATTTCATATTTTAAATTTTATTATAAACTTGTGATATCATGATAGTTATACTCAAAATCTTATACTATTATTTGCTTAATTTCAATGGATGTTATTGAAATTTAGTGTGTTATGAATTTTAAGTTATTTCTAATATGTAAAAATCTAAATAAAAGTATAAAATTTTCGTGTCAATTTGGGATTCATGGGTCAATTTCGTGTCACGGGTCATTTTCAGGTCGTGTCGTGTCAACTCGTAAAGTGGTCGTGTCGTGTTCGTGTTGCGGTTTTTAAAAAATTCCGTGTCACGGGTCGTGTTTGGGTTGACTATAAATTTAAAAAGAAACAATCAAAACACGATACGAATACGACACGTGACACGAATTGCCACCCCTATTTTAGGGTTTTTACAAATAACTTTAAATTGATGGCTCATATTACATATCTTTAGATTAATGGTTGAAATTAAATGAACCTTAATTTTTTATTAATATTTTTTAATAATAAGTATATATGTTGAAAAATATATTTTTTTATCTTTAATAATATGCCACCTCATCAATCTGTTAGAATTATACACGGAAGTTAATAGAGAGGGTAGTTTGATATGTTTTCTATACATTATGAGATATTTTGAACCATTTAAAAAAATCAAAGTGTATTTTAAAATAGGGTACATAATTCAGAAGGTATTTATGAAAATAATTCTTTTGTTATCTTCCAGATGGAATAAGTCATGTGGACAACACATGATACGTTTTAAGGATATTCAGGTAGTTTTACATCTCATACTAAATTTTTCTAACTTTTTCCTCACTTGAAATTATACAAGTGCTCTACTTTTGTCTCAAAATCACGTCGCACTAATTTCGCAGCTCCATTGAACTTATTCTTCTTTATATTTTTAGATAGATGGTCCGATGATGTAGGATAGATTGAAAGGAAGAGCAAGAGGAAGAGGAGATAAAAGAAGGGGACAGAAAAAAATTTAGAAAGAAGAAGATAATAATAGAGAGATTATGAGTATTCAATATCATTAATTAAGTCTGTCTGAAAATAATTAACATAAAAAGGCCTATTATAGGCATATAAGTCTTAATAGTCATCAAATTCCTAATACTATTTAATCTTAAATAATCATAATAGAACTCAAATAATCCTAATAGATAAATATTAAATAAAATAACTCTAATTCTAATAGAATTCTAATCGTGTTCCTCATCATTTTTTCTTGGTTGGAGAACTCGACTCCGGCGAGTTAAAACTCAAAAACTCAAAAAAATCATGAAGTAACAATCTGAAACGTAGAAAATTCTTCAACTGCAACACGTCATTATGAAAATAGCCTTGGGAACTTGATCGTTGCTGTAGAAAGATCCTTGAGATATGATTATAGATACGCCTTTGCTGTAGATAATCCATCTAGAACACTCGTGCTTTTTGATCACCATGGTAAGGAAGCAATTCCAACTCATTAAAAATCAATTTCATAATCAATTGAGAAGGAAATTCAAGTAAAGATGCATTAGATCCATTTTCAACAACACATTTTGAGAGATTGGATTTAATGGATTGTGGAAGACACTACAAAAAAAAGGGCTATTAGCGACGACAAAAAGTTGTTGCCAAAAATACAAAGTCGTCGTAAATGAATTTTTAGCGACCACTTGTCATCGCAAACCTGTCACCACAATTGATTCGTCGCAAAAATAATTTTTGCGACAATTAGCAGTCGTCGTAATTATAGGCGCGACGACAATCGCCGCAAATGAGTCGCTGCAATTATTTTGTCGGTTACATCGTTAAGATGACATTTTACAAATTAAGTCGTCGCAAAAGATGCAGAATTAGCTTACATGACTTATATTTTTTGCGACCACATTTGTCATCGCAAATGATATTTGATTTATTTTTTGCATTTTAATAATTAATATTGTATATTACTATAGATTTAAACCCAATATTAAATATAATTCATGATATTATAATAATAAAGAAGAATTAAATAAAAGAAAATAAATAATAAAAATAAAAATAAAAATTATTATTGTAAAAAATAATTAATAAAATAAAATAAAAATGTAATTATATTAGAAATGTATGAAAATAAAAATGGTTACATTTATAAAAACCTCTAGAGGTGGCTCATCCTCAATAAGTTCAGGACAAGAATGAGCATCAACAACCATATTATTTGTTAGAAGTGGTTTTAATTCTCCACTAGCTGTAACTTGATCAAGGTTGTGTTCCATCTCAAACTCTTCGATTTTTTTTCCACCTTTCACCTCTTTAGAATCACCTACTAACTGACTAACCATTGACATAAGTTGACCTAGTTGAGTTTGGATGGTAGTTAATTGAGTTTTAACATCAGTCATCTCAGTTTTAATATCAGACATCACAGTTTTGACATCAATCATCTCAGTTTTGAGGGTTCTAACTTTTCTTTCAAGTTTAAGGTGGGATTGTTCTAATGCTGCAAGTGTCATATGGCCCCTTTTATGCACATCTTCCTTAACCCTCGCAGGTTGATAGTTATAATAAAATTGAACATAATATGAATCATAATAGTAGTGACTGGAATGACGAGTATGAGATTCATGACATGGAGGATTCTTATAGGGATAATAGTAATATTCTTGAAAATTGATGGTGTTTTTCCCATGAAGAAAAATATCATGTTTCCAACCTAGAGGAAAGTTTCGACGTTCTGAGTTAGCTGGTGTGGGCAGTGTTGGCGGTGGGCTGCAACTTTTCATGTAGGAAACGGTAGCGGCGCGAGGTGGTGATGGCTAGCAGGGGAAATTTTTTTAAATTATTTTGAACAAAAAAAAAAAGATATATTGGTCAAAAAACACGACTTCGCTCTAATACCAATTGATGTATGATAGATAGAAAGGAAGAGTAAGAGACAGAAATAGAGGAAGAGGAGATAGAATAAGGGGATAGAAAAGAATCTAAAAGGAATAATTAGAGAGAAGAAGATAATAATTGATCTTAAATAATTCTAATAGAACTCAAATAATCTTAATAGATAAACATTAAATACAATAACTTTTAAATAATTCTAATTCTAATAGAATTCTAATCGTGTTTTCCATCGTCCGGCCCCATTCGTTTCGCTTGTTCGATTCACAACTCAAGTTTTTACTACAGTTTTTCTCTCATAAAAATTTAAATTCAACATTTTTGCTATAATGTTTTCTCTCATATGAATTCACTTTTTAACTCAAGTTCTCAACTCAACCGAGCAAAATGAACGAGACAAGTATTAGGGTGCATTTGTTTGAAGGATTCTGCATAGTTTAAATTATAGTTTTTAGTTCTGCTACAGTGTTTTTCTCTTATAAAAAAAATTGAATTTCAAACGTTAAAATTATAAATCATGGTTTGAACCCATAAACCAAACGGATCCTTAGTCATTCTCTTCTTCGCACAATTACATGGAACTTATTCTTCTCTTTCTTCTTCTTTTCACACCTCCATCAAACTTCTACTTCTTCTTCCCATACCTCCATGGAACTTTAAGGTTCAAAGTAACGATTAAGAAACTCAAGAGGAAAATTTCATTTTTTTTTTCCTTGTAGTGGTGATTTTTGAGACAATTTGGAAGGCGAGAAATGATGTTTGGTTTAATCAGTTTGCTTTAATGATTAAACAACTGATCCTTTAATGGTTGGACAGCTGATCCTTGGAGTTGGTACAAGGCCATAATAGCAAGAGTTAGGGAGTTTAGGCCAGGTTCTAGCCTAAATTTTGTTCCAAGTTCTCTAGTTCGAGACAAGTTATCGTAGTAATTATTGTTAGGCATTTTGCAGTTGCCAATAATATTATCGAAGTTTTAGACATAGCTCTTTGAGTGTTCTTTCTAAATTTATATAGATTTTATTTTTTTACGCAGCTATATTTAAAATTAGACTTTTCTGAAAGTCTAGATCTAGAATGTCATTCCTAACTATTTCGGTCTACATAATTTTTGGTCTACCCCTCCCTCTCATAATATTAGGTATAAGAATGTCCTTCCAAGCACGAACTGGTACTTCTAGCGATCTACGTTGAACATGCACGTATCACCTCAAGCGGCCTTCGCGCATCTTATTTTCTATTAGTGCTACACATAATTTACTAAGAATAATTTTATTTCTTATACGATTTATTCTCGTATGTGAAAAATTATGCTATAATAAAAAATTTTGAATTTGAAATTTTTAAAAAAAAAAAAACCAGTTATAAAAAATTTAAATTGTGATTAAAACTTTAAAAAGAACGGGGCATTCCAGCCTAGCCCATTTTCCCTTCCCAGTTCTATGGGCCGGGATGGCAGGCCCGTTCTTGCTTTTTACAGCTCTACCCTCTAACTCTGAAACGACGTCGTATTCGAGCAGAATTGGATTCCTAAACCCTATTATCGATTATGGTATTAAATACCAAAGCGAACTTTCGAAAAGCTCGTAACGAACTCTAATATAAAATTCCATATAAATTCGCTGCTTTCCCCATTTTCAACCCCCAAAATTTCCCAATTCCACTATTCTCTCTTTTTCCTCCTCAGAAGCTCCAGATTTTGCTTTCACCAATTTCAGTTTCTTTCTGAGAAACTTCTCGGATTTTCTTATCTGGTAAGAAAAAAATTATACAATATTTTATCATTATTTATTATTTATTTGTTTTCCTTTCTTTACTCTTTCTATTAGTCTCTTTTTATTATTCGAAAAAAAAAAAAGGAAACCCTAATTTTGTTTGTTCTCTCTTTTTTTTTTTCCTGGATTTCGTGTGTTTGGGAATTCAGAATTGGGAGTGAATCAGTAAAAGCGATTTTGATTACGCCATGGCCAAGAGTTCCTTCAAGCTCGAACACCCACTTGGTTGATTCTCTATCTCTGTCTCTCTTGGATATGTAAATTCAAATTGCTTTCTATTATTATTCCAAATGTGAACGATCTTGAATAGATACGAATTCTGTAATCTGGGTTTGTTCAAATTTGACGAGATTTTGAGAAGTTCTCTTTAATTATATGTGTGTGTGTGTGTGTGTGTGTGTGTGTGTGTGTGTGGTTTTTGTAAAAAAAACTCACTATCTTGGTTGTTGTCGCCTTTAGATTCAAAATTCAGAGATGTATCTAACTTTAGCTTGTCATTAATCAGATATATATATATATATATATATATATTGGGAAAACTGAAGTGGATTTGGAGAACTATGAGAAGAAGAATATGTCATTGATTTTTCTCTGTGAGAGAATTTTTTCTGGTAATTTTTCTGTAGATCGGCAAATAAAAGATTACTGATGTCTCTTTCTTTTTCTTTTTGACGAAATGGCAGAGAGGAGGCAGGCAGAAGCTGCTCGTATCAGGGAAAAGTATCCCGACAGAATTCCGGTATGAATGTTGTTCATGTCTTTATGATATCGGAAATTTTTTATTGTTCGTAAAATTTGAGAGGATATAATAAAATCAAGCTTAATTAGGCAACTCTATTTGTCTCATTTATTATAAATTCAAGCAAGAACGACCTTTTTTGAGCCTTGCACGTTGCTAGAAACTGGTTTCTTTGATGCACTTTGCATGAATGAGAAACAGAAAGGGCGGGGTGTTTCCTTTTCTCGTATATTCATGTGTTAACTTACAAAATTGGGAATGACGTTTTACTCTCTTGGTGTTGTTTCCCGTTTAATATAACTAGAATAAATTCCAAATTTACTTATATGTTCGTATTAAGTTCTAATTATATGGAAGGACATTTTAGTAATTAAATCCAATCCCATTACATTTTATTACTGTTAGCATGTTTCTTATGTTTAATGTTTATTAGCATTTCTAATAGAGGGGTTTTCTATTGTTCTTAGTTAATTTTTAGGCTTAGATCTGGCTAGGTGCATTGTTAAAAATACTTTCTAAAGCATTTCTTGTCTCTTCTATATTGTGTGTGATGAACATTGTTTAAATCTTGTTGTGCTGCGTAGGTTATCGTGGAGAAGGCTGAGCGAAGTGACATACCAGAAATTGACAAGAAGAAGTTAGTCTATTCAGAATTTTTTTTTTGACACGCGCTTTTATATGATTCTACCTTGGCTTTTGCAGAGATTACTGGTGTTTCTCTTAACGTGACCTTCAAATTCAATTTCCATAGAATATTTGATAATACTAACTTTGAAACATGGGGTATGTGTTTCTTCCCTTGTTGAAGGCAAATTTGTGGTTTCTCGTGAGCAAGAAACCACAAATTTTTTTTTGACATGCACTTTTATATGATTCGACCTTGGCTTTTGCAGAGATTACTCGTGTTTCTCTTAACGTGACCTTCAAATTCAATTTCCATAGAATATTTGATAATACTAATTATGAAACAAGGGGTATGTGTTTCTTCCCTTGTTGAAGGCAAATTTGTGGTTTGCCGTGAGCGAAGATTTTGGGCTACGGTAACTGTGTTAAGATATCCTATATTGGTGCTTTACTAAGTTTTTGAATGATTATGGGCACAGATATCTGGTTCCCGCTGATTTGACTGTTGGGCAGTTTGTGTATGTGGTCCGTAAGAGGATAAAACTCGGTGCCGAGAAGGCCATCTTTATATTTGTTAAGAACATTTTGCCACCTACTGGTGAGAAAAGTAGCTTGTAAAAATACAACTTGCTCCTATCATCGCAATTATGTGAAACGATTTCCTTAACACATTCTATTTCATTTGTAGCTGCTATGATGTCTGCAATCTATGAGGAACACAAGGACGAGGATGGTTTTCTCTACATGACGTACAGCGGAGAGAACACATTTGGATCATTCTGAGTAAGTCAGGGTGAAAGTTTGTAAATAAGACTTGAAACAAGCGCTATGAAACTGTATATATTAATTGCTTTCGCTCCTGTTTACGCTTGCGCAACTCCGGGAATTACTCTTCTTATGCTACTCAACTGTTAATAACAGTTGTATCTAGACTTCTGTGCTGGAAATATTTCGTTGTTAGTCATTTTATGCATGAATAAAGCTTTGTGAAGTTTCTGTTTTATTCCACTATCCAAGTGTCGAATAAAACCTTTCATTGTCCAACTGATTGTGGTTTCCTTGCTGGTCATCGAATGATTGTTTACACTTTTTTCAAATTCCTCTCATTCTGTGACTTAATTCATCAAGAAGATGCAATGTTTTGTCCTTGACTTAGAAGTGTGGTTGATACTTCAGCATTGTTCTCAACTAGTTTAACTACATAGAATAGTAATGAGGGTTTTTGGCGAAATTGCCTCCCGAACTTGTCATGGTTTAGCAAAGTGCTCTCTAAACTCTTAATTTTGGCCAATTGCCCCTCAAACTTGTAAATTTGTTGCAATTTGCCACATTTAATTAAATTTGCTCAAATGTTTTTATTAAATTTAAGGGATTAAAAGTTGAGA